ATCTACGGGTGTCGTAGTGTAGGCTGTAGTTACCTCTTGGCTATATCTCTTGAACTTATGACAAATATATCTATCGAACATAAGAGGCATTTTTTAAAGAGCAGGGCATATACCCTAGCACTTGCGTGAAGTCAATCCTTGATCAATCGCCACTATTACCTCGCCACTTGCGCCTAGAGTTCCTTCGATGGAAATCGGTCTATCGGATGTGAGGGGGTCACCAAAGTGTTCCGTCGTTCTAGGGCCCCCTGTTCGACGCTCGGCCCACCATTAGGACTGATTCTATTGCCCAATTCAAAAGGACCTCTCCCAGTCTCTTAATAGTTTCCTATGCATCAGCAGGAGTCAGATAACATTAGAATATCCAGCTGCCAACTGGATGGTCGCAGGGCCATTACGTGACTGAACAGATCTTGTACCTGAAGTTCGCCGAACCGGTTACAGGTGTTACCGTCCGCCTCGTATGATATGTTCTGTCTAGCGAAGGTTCCAGTAACTTCTTGCACGAATTCCAGCTCATTTTCCTGGCTTCCAAATGTCTATCCACTCTTGAGCACTGCATCGGTTGCTCGGAAAATGTTACGACGATTGTTTACATGCTTACCTTCTTTATGCGGAGGTTCTCCGTATCCGGCAAAATGGCGAGAGGTCAGTGGGAACCGTTGCGCCGAAAGATCTTAAATTCTAAAGCCCAAGTAACACAGACAAAAACTTTTCCAGGTAGCCACACCACATGCAGGTCCTCTGAAGCGTTAAATGATTCCTTGCAATTCTCCAAGTCATATCCAACCTTCACAAGGCGTAGTGGGCGTGAATGAGCTTGGTATGTTGATAACTCACACACATCCACGCTCGTTTAAGTGACCATGTCTCCCCTACCTGCCGGGCACCTGATTGTTCGCCAATAATAACCCTGTTTGTGACGAATTTCGTCAATGACCTTGGGCAAGGATAATCCGCGCTTCGTGCAGTCATTGGAAACTGCTTCCATCTACTGTTACCGTGGTTATGCGTTCATTCCCTCATTATAGTTTCCTACCGATCCAGTGTTACCGACTTTCGATTTGAGAAATCACAAACGCTACACTTCCATTCCATTGTTAATGGAAACAGAGGACGGCGTTAACTTATGGTGAAAGGCAAGACATGCGTTTCCTGAAACCGGGCACTCCTCCGAATTATTTGGAAGCGTCTTCACATCAGCAGTATGTCTCATGTTTGTCCTTATTATTGTTTTTACGATAAACAAACGGCCACTGCAGTTCCCGGCGCTGTATCTTTTGGTAACTCCAGCCGGATGTCGTACCCAGTAGAAGGAACACAGCCTGGTTACGGATAATGTTACCGTCCTTAAAGTGTAATGTAGGCTCCTAATTCCCGTGTCCTTCGTTGAAGTACAACGCCTAATTTAACCATCTACTGAAGTCAGGGAACGCAAAAACGACCATACTAAAAGTAAACCCCAACTATAAAGTCAACAGTTCAAGATTAATGGGGTTGAGCATATCTATTGAATTTTCATGGTAAACTACATACCGGACGTCGTTTTCTAAAAGCAGGCTCGTGAAAGCATAAAAGGATACTTTAGTTTGGAAAGACTACCGCACAAAATGGCGTTGCATTAGGCAAACACCCGAAGCGTGTACACGCAACAAGTCTACAATGG